TATAACCCGGCCAAGTCAAAATTTAAAACTTTTAAAAAAAATTTTTTTTTTAATATGTTTTAATAACTAAATAGGTTTATAAAATTTTGTTTATATAAATTTTAAAAAATTTTATTCTATGAAATATATAAAAAAAAAAGCTAGCAGACTAGGTCTATTTAAAAGCTCCATGTGATGAAAACCAAAAAATTGTATACTCTTTACATAAAAAAAATATTTTATTATATTTTTTCGAAGTTAGAAACGTTACATTCTCAAAAAGTATTTTAAGCTATATAAATACGTAAGTTACTGATTTACTCAACACTTCAATTGTAATTCATTAATACTACATATAGATATTTATCTGAGTCATTTTACAATTATATTCATATTTGCCTACAGCCCTCTTGAGAGCTTTAACTTGTTCCTCCAACATGGCTTTTTCTTTTTCAAGCTTACTTATAGCTATTAGCCATTATATAAATTATTTTAGATAAATATAAAACAATAAGTTATTTTTTTTTTTTAAAAAAAAAAAAAAAACCTACTTTTTTGAAGGATTTTGGTTTCTTAACCAATTCTGATAAATTAAGTTCTAAAATTTATATAAGTAGTTAATATGCTAAATTATTTAACATTCCTAATAAAAATCATCAATACAGCATGATATTTCTAAATTTTTACCTTTGTCATTTCACAATTAGATTCTTTTGCTTTTCTAAGAATTTTAGCTTGTTTCTTCAATACTGCATTCTTTTTTTTTGAGCTTATTTACAGCTATAAGCTATTAGTTGAATTAATAAATTATCTAGATAAACATGTAAACAATAAGTATAGCACTCTTTTTCTTTAACATTCTAATTTTAATTATTGTTGGTGCCAGTTCTTGAGTTAAAGAGTCATAGTCGAGGCTATAGTTATTGGCCTTTTTATATACAATATTTTGTGTTTTCAATTCTGTAACATAACACTGAAGTGACTTAAAAATATTATCTTTTAATTATTATTACTATTTTCTATAACTTGAGTAAGCTCTAGAATATATTAAATTATTGCATAAAAATTAAGTATTCAATTTAATATAATCACAATACCTTTCCTTGAACTGACCTTTAAATTCTTGACAATATTCACTTTCATTAGCTTTGGCTTTAAGACAAGACCTTTAAAAAAATTATTCCACATTATTAGTTAATTGAAATATATTGTATAAACTATGCTTATCCCTTGCAAAAATTAAGACAGACCTTTAAAGGTCGATCACTCTTGTTATCCTAGTATGATGTTATCACATTAGTTGTTATTGATATTTTTGTCCTTAATTTTAAGATGCCCACAAAACACTGTCGATATTAAATTTTTAAATAATTGCTTGTTTCTTTTTAGTGTATGATAAAAAATAAGATACACAGTTAGTTACTGAATTTTTTAGTGTTTTATTAAAAATATAGTTACCTTGTTGTTACCGCTTTTGTTAGACAGATAAATTTTTTTTTTAAAAAAAAGAAAACAGACAACAATATGAAAAAGTAAGATAATAACAAACAATACTTTTATAATAATCTGATATATGATTGTGCAATTTTATTGGTCATCACACGCGTGTGAGTCTGAATATTAATTTGAGGGCATTCTTATGATTGGCTGACATAAATCGGTAACTTATGTATTTATACAGCTTAAAGTACTTTTTGAGAATGTAACATTTCTAACTTTGAAAAAAATATAATAAAATATTTTTTATGTAAAGAGTATACAATTTTTTGGTTTTCATAACATGGAGCTTTTAAATAGACCTAGTCTGCTAGTTTTTTTTTTTATATATTTCATAGAATAAAATTTTTTAAAATTTATATAAACAAAATTATATAAACCCATTTGGTTATTAAAACATATTAAAAAAAAAATTTTTTTTAGAAGTTTTAAATTTTGACTTGGCCGGGTTATG